GGGTATTTAGCCCAAATGGCCCTAAAATGGAGTCTACAAGATACAAGGGGTGCTTATGGAAATAAAGTTGGCACCTTTATGCCATAAGAACCCTCAATGGTTCCAGATCTGAAGTCATACCCTCATAGAACCACACAATCTCGAATGTGGCTCTATAAAGTTTAGAAAATGAAGGAGTGAACCCTAACTAGAGATCTAAGAGATAAATGGTCATGGTTGAAGCTTTTTACCTCCAATGAGCTGGAAATGGGACACATCCTCTGGATCTACTAGCTTTTACTTGAACTCCCAGGCTCCTTCTTCCTTCTCAAGCTTCACAACCACCACAAACACACAAAAATGGCTCAAGAACACTCAAACAAGGTTAGCGTTTCAATTTAGGGATTTCTGGACACAAGGAGGCGATGAGGGAGGCCACAACTGGAGAGTTAAGGCGTTTAAATAGGGTACAAACCCTTAAATTAGGGTTTCATCCAGGCAAGCCTACTCGTCGAGTCAGTGCATCTGACTCGTCGAGTAGGTTCTTCTTCCCGTGTCCAATTTTAACCTCTACTCGATGAGTTGGGGCCTCCAACTCGCGGAGTCCCAAAACAAATGTGCAAAATTTATCTATTTAAATTACGTACCAGGAACCGGGCGCTACAGAACCACCTTGCTCGGAATTTGGTACCCTTCTATCTCAGGGTTCTTTGTGCAAGCATTCTCTGATGTTGATATTAGCGGTTGCGGTCTGGATTAAAAAAGTACTACTGGGGGATGTCAATTTCTTGATTTCAGACTAGTTAATTGGCAATCAAAGAAACAAACATGTGTATCCCTATCGACTATTGAAGCTGAGTATATGCCTCTTGTACCTTGCAAGTGATTTGGATTCAAAGTCAGCTTAGGGACTATGGGATTAATATGAAGAGAATCCCCGTATATTGTCATTCTGAAAGTGCAATTCACATTTGTCAAAACCCAGTGCAACATTCCAAGACTAAACATATTGCACTGAGGTATCATTTCATAAAGGATCATGTGGAGGATGGAAATGTTGAAATTCACTTTGTAAGATCCGCTGATCAACTGGCTGATATCTTTACGAAAGCCTTACCTAAACAAACTTTCAATCGTATTCTTCAAGACTTAGGAATGATAGAAGCAAAATCTATTCCAAAACCATCTTCATAACCGAAATGCATTTCTTAAGTTTCGATCTGGTCTGAACCCTCGTAGGTACTCGCAACTCACTGTTCATACTCCGAACGAGTCTGAGCGCTCAGAGCGATTCACAGGCCACTGTTCATCTTGGACTCAGAACATCATCTATCCTTTGTATATAATGTATTTTTTGTATTTTTTTTATTTCTTTTTCAGAAACGTTCCAAAATGCAAAAATATTTTCTGTTTTTATTTCTTTTTAGAAAAAATTCAAAATCTAAAAATATTTTTCTTTTCTATTTTTATTTCCTTGTCAAGAAAAATCCAAAATATAAAAATATTTTCTTTCTTGTTTTTGTTTTATCTTTTCAGAAAATTAGAAACTCTAAAAATATTTTTATGTTTCTTTTATTTGTGTTTTATTTTTAAATTCGCATTATCTTAGGTACCATTTAGTCATCTCAGTTCGGAAAGGTGGGGCAGGTATATAATTTCGATTCTATGTACTAGATAAGTGTCCCTAGAAGCATGTTGTTGCATGTTGTCCAAAGCCTCTGAGACTCAATATTTGAAGCCTTAATGAATCGATAATACTAATTGTTTCTTCCTAATCAGGCTAATATTCACATAAGTCATTGAGCTACCTTACTCTTCTCACATTGAGTTAAGAGTTGACTGATTGGTCATTCTTTCATAGCAGAGGTACATTTTTATCTTCGGAACCAGTTTTAATAGTTCTCCAGATCACTTTCACTTTCACATTCATTATCCTTCAGACTCTCAGAAATTACCACTGAGGTTTATGGTTACACAACTTTTGTGTTAATAATCTTAAATTCGTTGTCATCACGAATTAAGTGAAACCCAAAATCCAATACCAGTTTTTGAATTGACGGTGAACAATCGTTATGTCCTATACTTTTCACCATGGAACTGATGAAATTTAACCCTCGTGGTTCGTACCTTGAAATCTCATTTTTTGCAAGATCTTTATGGAATGTTCTCGACCTAAGACATTTCATCCCAATAGATCCAGTTTTTATTTTTCTTGAGATATCAATTTTGTCTTAGCAACTTAAATGTATCCTAAACATACTTGTTATTATGACTACACTGGTCAGAAAAGTACTTCTTTCAACGTTTGGACTTATGTTAAGTCTCGGAGTTTAGTTGAAGATGAAGCCACCCTACGAGCCTAATGAAAAGCAGCCTTTCACTGGTTCTCCAAAGGAAGAGATCGTTGCTCGGGATCAAACTGTTTTATGTCGATTTATTGACATCACAGCAATCCAAATTTTACTAGATTTATTTCTCTATCTTTGGAACACACTTGCATGAAATTCCATGAGATTTTCCTAAAGTCTGGTTTTTATTATTACGAACAATCATTTTTAGATTCGGAGAAAATGGATTGGCAATCCATTGAAAATGTACAGAACTGAAAAGGCAGTCTTTAAGGGATAAGAATTGATTTGGGCGTGTGAATTTTTCAAACCATTCCTAACATCACACTGTTAGTTCTGCCACCTGATACACATATGTTGTCATGTCCTTTCAGGCAACTTTATTGGGATTTTGAAACCCCAAATGCCAGATTTCTCTCAACTATCACACCATATAAAAGGGAAATCAATACTTCCTTATCATTTATCATTCTCAAACTTTCAAAATCTCTGGCAAGTAAATCTCTCTCTCTCTCTCTCTCTCTCGCATTGTTCATCATACCCATCTGCAAAAATGGCGGCTTCTTCTGAAACTCCATCAGTGGCTAAGCAAATGGCTCAATTGATACTGCTGAACATCAAGGACAACCAAAATCATATCTTGGATCTTGACTCATCCAAATATGATACGTCTCCAACCGAAGATTGAATGTTCGTCTCTCTCCTTTGGCTCCGGATCTCACCATGGTTGAAAACTTACCCTTGGTTCATCTATCTAAGGCATTATCCACTGCTAGTTGTCAAGAAGGTGAGGCTATTATTACTTTTGAAGTTGGTTCCAAGAAAACTTCTATCTCTAAGTCGAGGTTAAGTTGATTGCCAGGGTTTCCTCAAGGTAGGGATCTTGTCGATCCAGATTCCATCTCTTCCTCTACTTGACTTGATATGTTTTATCAGATGTGTTATGTGGGCAACCTAACCATCTTGTCAAAGTTCAAGAAGCCCAATCTCCCTCCCATGTGGAATGGGTTGTTCACTTTAATTTTCAAAAGTTTCTCAGAGAGGGTTACAGGTTCGAACAATGCAAGCAAACTCTTCTACACGATTCTCTACGGTATATACCATGGAATTAATCTGGATTATGGTGCTGTCCTTTTTGCTCAACTGGTTCAGAGTACACTTTTCATGACATGACATTCAGAAATATCATGTGCTCGATTTTGGTGCATCATCGCTCAAAGGGTCATCAATCGCCTCAACATTCCAGTGATAGAGGGTTCTATAATTGTAGCCATCCCAATTTTTCACACTTTGAACTTCATCGTAGCAGATCTTATGAAGTTCGCATTTATCGGCTCACTTCCAGAGGAAATGCTAAACTATGCTCTAGCAGACAACGTCATCATCAACAACTATCAAAAGCAACTTGGCTCAAGTCCTCATCCTTTAACACCTGAAATGCAAAAAGCTTTGGAGGAAGCGAACAAGACAAAGAGGGGAGGTAAGCGAAAGACAAAACATGATCCTTCCGAACTAGCTCAAGTTCCAAAGAAGAAAATCAAAAGATTATCTCTTAAACCAAGGTCTCCTACTCCAGACGCTGAGGAGGATTCGGAGTCTTGTATAATTTCTGAAGTTCAGCGTACTGAGCAAGTCCAACATGAAACTGACAACACAAGTGTGACTTCACAACCCATGTTTTCGAAACCAGTTGCTTCTCGCACTAATCCGGAGGTAACTTTTTCTACGCTCGCCTCTGTTCCTTTAACAAAAGATTTATTCCAGGATTTTACTCCTCCATCTTCTCCGAATCACACTTCTACTCAAACCACCACTCCAATTAACATTGCTCCATGTCCAAACATCTCTGTTGGAGTTTCGCAACCACAAGTCTCAATTCCTCAATCAACTCCATTTATCATAGATTCTATAGTAACAACCACCTTAACCACTAGTACACCACCAGTAACTGTCAACGTATCTGATACGGGGAGCAGGTGCTTCTGGTGTCACTGTTGGTCCTACTTTCTCTCCCATCTCACCTCTAAGAACTGATGATCCTGATCTGGTGTTTGGTGATGATCGGTATTATTTCCAAGACTTCCACTATAGCCCATTCAACGTCCAACCGTCTAGTGATGACAAAGATGCACTTATGATGAAGGGGAATTCAAAGCCCTTAATGATAAGTTAGACACTCTCCTTAAGTCTTCCAAATTTTCGTCGAACGGTGAATATTCCCATGCGTCTTACAAAGCTTTATTTGACACTCTAACCAAGGAGCATGCTGAGAATCTTGCTACATTGACAAAGGTCGTTGAGCACTCAGAAAAGATTGTTCATGAAATGACCGAAAAAGTCAATAAACTACTTTCTGGTGTTAAACAGATTATAGAAGGCTTCTAAACTTCTTTGGAATGAAACACAGTTGCTGCTAACAAGGTAATTACAAACCTTGGCACAACACTCCAAGCTGAGAAATAAGCTCTTTTCGAGGTTCACACTGGCATCCAGGTTGATAATGTAGAGCTGCAAACGTTGATCACTTCCAAGATTGAAAATCTTCAAGCAGATCTTGATACTGAGAATGCTCTCATGGATAAGCTTTCCATCAAAACAGAAAAAGTGAAAGTTGTTTCAGCCCACCTCTCTTATGCTAACAAGGAGATATAAGAGCTCAAGTCTGAAAAAGTTATGGTCAAAAGTGTTGTCACTGATGTTAATCAGTTTTTGCAAACTCTCATTGAGACTCATGATTCTATGCTCACAATCTCTGTTAGACAACATTGTGCTGACAAACTTCGACCAGTATTCTCTATGCTTGATCGGATAGAAGGTGTTTTGGCATCGAGTACTCTTCCGAAACAAGGGGAGAAACTAAGAAGGTATTTGGAGAAGAAATCAAGAAACCAGTTGGTGGCTCTAATGATCGTGAACAAAAGTCGAAATCATAAGATCCGAAGGTTAATGAAGCTTTGGGATCAAAAGGTAAAGAAAGTTGATTGATCATGATGAGGATGAAGGTGCAAAACTTAAACGTAAGTCTCGTGATGCAGAGATTGTTGAGAATCTGCAAATTGCCAAGGAAGTCGAAGCTCGAGAAAGGTAAGCCCATGAAGCCCAAGTCACCTTGGAAACTTAAAAGCTTCTATTTCCTTCCTGGTCTATATAGCATATTTTGAACGAAACCGTTGATAATCCAAATGTTTACTGGCTTGAGCCTGTGGTATCTTTTGATTTGGAAAACTCTATGGATTTGCAGCTTGATCTACCAATCACTCCAAAGGCTTTTCAGTTTTGTAGCTTTGATAAGATTGCAAATGCTCCTTTTCCGGACCATGATGTTGATCAGGTGCTTTTCTCGTTCTATCTCAAGCACATGAAGCCTCAGTACCACACTTGGAGCTCAAAGAAGATTACTGCTATCAAAGTTTTTGGACCAATTAAAACTAAGAGTTTTATCAATGCTCGTTTCAAAACTGATCGAGGTGCTGTGAGTTTGGTGTTTGAATTTACACACGCTGACCTACCGTGCCTTAACCTTTTGATTGGATATCTCTGTTTCATCTCTGGCTAAAGGATGAACATAAATATGAACCTATTGTGGCGCATCTCAAAAAGGATGTTGGTCTTGTACATCCATGAAGTCAGCAAAATGGATGTCGAGGTAGCGGCTACACTCCAAAAGAAACCCATTGTCAAACCCAAAGAAGTTGTGTATAATGTTTCCAAGATGAAGCTTGGAAGGATTCAAAAAGACAAATGGAGTATGGTTTTTCAACAGAGTGGTAGAGATGGTTCAAATGCTCAGAGGTGTTTCTTCTCTCTTTCAGACAAACATCTTTATTCCACTTCATGCTTGAACTACATTCTGGAATTAATCGGGCAATGTAAAGCGAACAATGCTTCAAGTAAGAAATGCTTCGCAGATATGATCAGATTGTATATTGCAGTGTGCAGCACCCTACTTAGTCTCATGCTGAAGCTCTTCAAGGTCCAGAAGTGGAAACAAAAACTGAAGAATCTGCCTTCCTTATTTGACACAAAGGGGGAGATTTTTGGGTTATTTATTAAATTGTGTCAAATTTATTATGTATGGAGTTAGCCTTTTATGGATTTTTTATATCCATCCGTCTTTATGATGCTAGGGTTAGGCTTTAAATATTGAATGCATGTATTGTATTAAGGGTAATCACTTTTGTGATTCCCTACAATGCCTTTACAGAGAAGTTCTTCGTCAAACTCTTCCAAGGCATTGATTATTAATCATTCAACACAACTTCGATCATTGCTTTTATTGTTTTGATTCATATTCCACTTTAGAATCTATCGATCTATGTTTTTTATTGTTCTATCAAGTTGGACACCAAGTTGCATTTTGGTACTGCCTATCATCCTCAGACTGACGGGCGGAGAGAGCGAACTATTTAGACACTCGAGAATAGGTTGCATGGTGCATAATTGATTTTGGTGGGAGTTGGGACTGCTACCATACTTTGGTTGAGTTTTCTTACAACAACGGCCATCACGCCAGCATTGATATGCCTCCCATTAAGCTTTTGTATGGGAGGAAGTGTTAGAATCCTATTTTCTAGGACGAGGTCGGACACAGAGTCATGGGGATCACTGAAATAGGGCTCAAGACAACTGAGCTTATTCAGAAAGTTAGGCAGAGATTGCTGACAGCCTAGAGCCGCCATAAGAGTTATACGGGCCGATGATGCTCTCAGTTGGAGTTTCAGGTCGGAGATTTAGTGCTTTTAAAGGCATCACCGTGGAAGGGTGTTATCCGATTTAGGAAGTGGGGCAAGCTGGGCCCCAGGTTTATCGGCCCTTTCAGAGTGATAGCCCATGTGGGCAATGTGGCTTATTGGTTGGAGCTACATCGGGAGTTGAGTTAGATTCATAATACCTTTCATGTTTCCCAGTTGAGGAAACGTGTAGCTTATTTGATAGTTCTGGTTCCCTTGGAGGACATACAGCTCGATGGTCGCCTGAATTATATTGAGAGGCAGGTGGAAATTCTTGATAAAAAGGTAAAGACACTGAGAAACAAGGTGGTGAACCTGGTCAAGGTTCAGTGGCAGCATCGGAAAGACTTGGAATGGACATGGGAGCCTGAGACAGAGATGCTTGAGCATTACCCTGATTTTTCCCCGAGGCTGACTTCGAGGGCAAAGTCTGATTCTAGTGGAGGAGATTTGTAACAACAGTTTGTCAGTTACTTTATCTTTCAACCCTTGAAGTTGTTATAAGTTTTCATTTGGCCACTTATGTTGGGTGTACATGTGAGTATGTTGGGTGTACTCACGCAGATATCAAACTGTAACACCGTAAATTTCAAAACAAAATTTTCAAATTTTTTTATAAAACATGATTCATTTAATATTCAGAAAACAACCATTTTTAATCGTTCAATCCAAGTAATACAAAATCCCAAGATCTCAAAGTCATAAATCCCGTGCGTGTGTAGTGATCAAGCCGGCGCCTTCCCGCGGTCGTCACTATTACCTGAAACAACTAACATCAAACACTGTAAGCACAAAGCTTAGAGAGTTCCCTAAAATACCACATAAAACACATATTAGCCACTCGAGGCTATAACTCTGTGGGTCCGTGCACCCAAACTCTGTGAACCCTCAGGTTCTAACTCTGTGAACCTTCCGGTTCTAACTCTGTAAACATGCACAGCATAAATCACATAGAAATAATGCAGTACAACACATAACATACATAGCATACAAATACTTTGTCACATAACTCTGGTTACCTACTCAAGGTAAAGTATAGTGAGAAGACTTACCTCGCGTATCTCGGAATCACTAGCGCTCGATCTCCCGAGCTATCGTCCTCTTACAACACAAGCATATCTCTATTTAATACCACCTTGATCCTGGCTGACTAACACTACAAAGTCAAACTAGTCAACTCTAGACAACGGTCAAAGTCAACCCCTGACTGACTCTACTCGCCGAGTCAACCCGATGACTCACCGAGTCCCCAAGCTCAGAACTTCCCTCAGTCCATCACCTGACTCGCCGAGTCACCCCGAGACTCGCCGAGTCCAACAACTTTGAGTCCACTCGCACCCAACTCATCGAGTCATCCGTTGACTCATCGATTCTCGACTCAACCTGAAAATATTGGGATTCTTCGACAAGACTCGCCGATTCTAAGGCTATCTTCAACCTACTCGCCGAGTTGTTCATCCAACTCATCGAGTTCCAGCTCATCTTCAAGCAACTCGTCGAGTCCACCCATGTGACTCGCCAAGTACCACCGGTCTGAATCCATACAGAAGCATTCCAGGCCATGCAATTGATCCAAAACATAGATCTAGCCTCCTACAACCCATCCATCACGTAAAGTGGCAAACTTTACGTGAATCCAAAGAGATCTAGGCCTTATACACTTTAGGGCTAGGGTTTGGGACATGATGGCTTCACTAAGCACTCAAACACAGGGACTTTAATGCACTCTAGACCTTCCCCATTCCAGATCTGAGGTAGCAACCTCAGATCTAACCTCCAAACTCCAAAACATCCAAGATAAGCTCCCATAAACCCCAAAATGATGAATCCATATGAGTAACACCCAAGAACGAGATATTACCTCAAAAGAACGCCCCAACTGCAATGAAACTCGAATCCAAGCAAAGCCCCTTGCTCCAAGCCTCCAAACTCCCAAGATTTCTTCAACAAATACCCTTCAAGCTCCCAAATGCACTTTGATCCACACACACACGAATGCTAAGGGTTTCTGGACTTGAGGATGATTAAAGAGGCTAGGGGAATGGATGTTAAGTTCTTTATATAGGGCTCAACCACGAGAATTAGGGATTTCTCCACTCAGCACCTACTCGTCGAGTCCATCTTTGGACTCGCCGAGTAGGCCACTTGACACGCGACCAAAGTCGTGACCCTACTCGCCGAGTCCATCCATGGACTCACCGAGTTGCCCTTCAAGATTTACACTTTTAGCCCTTCAACTCTACTCTTGATATTTCGGGGTGTTACAATTCTCCCCCACTTAAATTAGGCTTCGTCCTCGAAGCCTACGGCAACTCATCTCCAAAAATACTCCCACAACACGCCACCTGGCCTTAACCGGACCAGGTCCCTCAAGGCATACCCATCGAAACTCGAACTCACTTTGTCTTTCCTTGCGGTGTCCTGACCACCGTCTCAACCCGGGCACCGGCTTTACCCTCTGATATTCACACACAACAATTGAGTACATCTCATGATGCATCACTGCTCCAAATCTCAGCAATCATTCGACCCATAAGAGCTAGAAAACCATGAACCACCGGATCCCTGATCTAAAACCCACTCTATCCATTCCATGCTGACCGAAAGACCCATTCTTCAATCTCAGAGTAACTCCCACGAGTCCTCTTTTTGCAATCACACGCACATGCTGCACCAGTCCTCGCACTCTCAAGTTAGGAAAACCCGTCACACTGACGACATCTCCAACATCCCCAGGGGAAACCACCACTACACACACGAATCCCTGATCAGAATCAAGCTGGGAGTCCCATACTCCATCCCTGCATCCATTCTGAGACTCTTGGCTCTACACCCGCGGAATCCCTTCCGCGTCCTCAACAATCACCACAACATGATGTCATTCCATACCACCACCGCAATCACACTGCTCAATGACTACCGATCTAACGACACCTTCTCCCATACAACAGCTCAAAGGTTGGCACACTGGTGCTCAACTGATGGCTGTTGTTGCAGGAAAGCTCTGCCAAGGGCAAATACGTGTGACAACTCTCTCCGAAATCTATTATATATATATATATATATATATATATATATATATATATATATATATATATATATATATATGCCTGAAGTATGTCCTCGAGCGTCTGAATCGTTCGCTTGCTCTGCAGTGTCCTCAGACATCACCAAGGTAAACTCTACCTCATTTCTCATATCCCTCTTCGATACTGAACACCACATCAGCTTTTGACCCCACAGTTGAACCTCCAAAGGTCACACATATCATGACCCAAGATATCACACCAACTTCCTCCCTTTGACAAATATTCCGGCCCAGTGACATGCAAGTCACTAAATTCTCTTCTTCTCATACGAAAAATACAATCCGATCGAAGCTCGAGTCAACTCTGATCTCTGGAGTCTGCTGCACATATCTCCTGCGCACCTTGTTGAATCTCTCGACAGAGGCGGAGGCCCCAGCCTCGCCCCGGTTTAACCACTAGGCTCCAAAACTCAATATTAGGGCTACTCAAGCCTAAAACTCCTCTGCATCGTACACTGATCAGAGAACACTCCATCATCACACTCTCTTGCTATCTAGCGAGTTCTATGGCTTCTTGCAATATCATGACAGACTCTGACTAGTGAGTACTACGATTCCTCATAGCACCACAACGCCAACCGACTAGTGAGTACTACGGCTCCCCGCAGTACCACGACTCCCACTCTCTGACTTGTGAGTACTACAACTCCCTGTAGCATCACAACACCCTCTGACTGGCGAATACTACGGCTCCCCGTAGTATCACAACTCTCTCTCTCTGGGTTGCGAGTACTACGG